AAAAAAAAAAACAGAGAGAGAAGAAAAGCTCGTCTCCGTCTTTGGGTCAAGAAGGATAGCATGTGCAATTTTTTTCTAACCATAAAAATTCCCCACGTAAAAAATTGCCAGTAAAGTGACTCATCACATTAGCAGTCTATACTCATGAGTCAGTTGTGCTTCGAGCCTACCAACAAGAAAGGAATCCATAAGCTGACTGATTAAAATAAATATTGTGTATGTTAAGGGAATGAAGCAACGTAGCATCCACTACTTGGTGGATAAAATAGTTTATAGCACAGTGCTGTTAAATGCTAATTGGTCAGAAGGTGTTGATTAATTTTCTTTAAACAGCTCTGACAGTAGTTTGGCTACAAGGTTTATATTAATGCGCTTGTTCTAATTGTTTCTATAGTAACAACTTGTACAGGAACTTGAATGGTGGACACGACACACAAACGGATTACGAACGTGTGTAATTGTTGATATGGTGTTGTTTTCTGTAAAGAGATATTTCTTTAACATTTATGGGCAAAGCTGTAAGTTTACATTTTCCAAATGCAGTTTCTCACTAACAGCTGTTTTTTTTTTTTCTTTTCCATTTTATTAACTTCAAGAGCAAGAAAAAGAGTATGGTGACTGTTTATAGCTGCTATAACATCACTGATAACTTGACGTTAATTGATAACTTGTTTTGCAAACGTTGCACAACATTAATTGTAACTATAAACAGACAAAAAGTGTCATTCTTTAATTAAATTTAAAAATACTAAAAAATGCTGTGGTATAACAGGAATAAAACACTTGCAGACATGCTGTAGTAGAAAAATAATCAACTTCTGGGTGGTAACAGTAACTCCTCTTTGCATTGGCTGCATCACAGCACCCTGTCATTGATGATTTTTCCTATTATGCCCTGTCGTGTCTTATTCCTTACTTAACTGCTAAAGCTACTTCATTTTAAAAGTGGTGATGCTCCCCCTTCTCTACTGAAATGCATTTAAAATAGTAGCTTAATTACCTGGAGAGATGCCTCTAAAAGAAATCAGCTGGCTCATGTAGACCCAGAGTTGGAAGTGATGAAATTATTGCTGATGTATTTGAATTCACCAGATTATTTTGTGTATATAGACACCCTCCCTGCCATTATTGCTTGCTCATTATTTGCCTATCTTCAGACTTGCCTAGTTTGACACACCTGGGGTCTAGCGACCAGTGACACTACAGAAGTTTGAAGAATGGAGTACATGACAACACCAAGCTTTAATCATTATCACAATATAGGTTTTTGCAATACTGATATCTCTGAAGCCTGCACAAGGCAAACGCATACTTTAACAAACCATGCTTTATTTTAAAGTTCTTCAGTGAGCATTTAGACCAGAAAACATTTCATAAATTCATGTTGCAATTACAGTGAGTAACACTATAATGACCATGTGCTGTTTTGGGTTGTGTAGTGCCTGTAAAAGGGTTACAGTATGCATCTACAAGGCCAGCACTGGTTATACTGTATTGCAACAGTGAGTCAGTTTTCTATGAAATGATTCATTGATTTGATTCATTTGATTCCTTCATTTGATTCGTTTGATCGCCGTCGACTTTTTCAAAATGCTGGCTAAAATTTGCGTCTATTACCATCTACCCCTTCATTTTCTTATCCAATCAAGCTCCTTACTCAAGTGGTGCTCATCCCTTTTGTGACCAGAAAAAAATGAATAAATAAATAAATAATTTTCGTGACATTAATGATCAGAACTAGGTCTAGGTTTTGCTGCACACTGGGTAGGTTTTTCCTTTAGTTGCAACCACACTGTCTTTCAGCATATAATGACAATGTGTTGTCTGCTGACAGTGTAAGATTTTAAAAATATCTTTTTAAGAAAGAAGAACAATAAGAAGATTTGATCTTTTTGTTCCTTATACATATGCACATATATACACACACACACATATGAGGAAGTGCAAATAGACTTTTTTTTTTTTTAACAAAGATTACAAAATATTTGCTTAAATTTTTACCACAAGCATGTGTGTTTTTTAAAACATTGATTAATACTATGTATATGTATATATACATTAATACTATGTACTATATATATTCTTAGACATGGTTATCATTTTGTGAAAACCTCACTTTGTAATACTCCTAGTCTAGAGTTTTAGTGGTCCAAGGTGAGGCTGCTTTAATATGAGGTTCTCTGTTCATTCACTGAAACATTTGAATACATGTCTATTTCTGCCAGTTAGTTGCCAGTCAGTGAGACAGTATATGTTTGTTTTTTCCCCATGATTTTCTCCCTTTCTGAGTGAGGAAGGGTGGAGACCCACTAGCTTTTGTGTTGATTTTCCTGGTTGATGAATGTATGACTCCATCAAGCTGTTTCAGTTTCCATCCAGCATCTGTATGCTTCAACATGAATCCCTTCCTGCCCTTCACTCAGAATGGAAATGAGAGTTGAACCTTCAAAGATACAAAAGTAGTGTTTTAAGGTTCAGTTTAGTACCAAAAATGAGTTTTTAATGTATGTCATTCAGTTGAGGTTTGCTTGTGTAGTATGTTTAACAATAGACCTTGTCACAAAGCAGCTTTACAAAATCCAGGTCCCTAATGAGCAAGTCAGAGGCGACAGTTGCAAGAAAAAAACTCCAAGAGATGACCTTAACAGAAAACTTATATGGTCAATTTTTATACTGTGCAAAAATGGAACTTGTACTTGAGGTTGATTAAATCTCTAGTTACAGTCAGTTTATCTGTGCTGAGGAAGTTTCTGTCCAGTGCGACTAAAATTTCCACAGTGCTTTCACACATCTTATTTATATATACAGTACCTCCAGAAAATATTACTACAACAAGTTTAAGTATATTAGAATTAGAATTTTGAAGTGACTCACTACAAAAATTATAGTAAATACATTATATTTTGATTTTGGCATTTTCATCTATTTCTCAACACAAATTTTCCCCAATTCTCCCAAATTAGATGGAGAATGTTGAGGAACAGCAATTATCAGGTCATGCCATGGATTTTCACTTGGA